GGCGGAATGCCACAGAAAAAGTTATTTACTTGTTAAAGACAAAATTTATGATACTATAGATACTGAACTCAAGCTAAAACAAAGAAACATATATAACACTACAGAGATGCTTGTAAATATTTCAGTGGCCTCTTTCATTCAAGACAGATAGAACAGAAATATTTCAGTCCAGTCTTGGCTTCACAAGGACTGGCTGATTTAGGATCTAAGATGCTATCTGAGGTCACTGTTCAAAAAAGAGGCATTATTGTTATTTTCTTTATTTACCAGATGGATGAGAAGAGCAAAACCACAGCTGCTTTCTTATCACTCTGCATGTCTGGACAGGAAATAAGATGGGTAAATCTCATCTGATCCTAAAGAATGAATCAGGTCAGGACATTTTTGTGCTCGTGTGGTGAAGTGAGGGGTTTAGGGCTGGAAGGGAGATTTCTGGTCCCCTTTCACATGTGAGTGCAACCTAGAAGCACACTCTGTTTTTATAGTCAGAGTTCAAACTTTTTGCTTACTCAGTTTTTCATAGGATGCTTGAAGTCCAAGCAATTCTAGTTACTTTTGTGGAGTATTTAATCCCTATGCAGGAGTCCTTGCCAATTTTTCAACATCCAAATAATATTAACATTATCCTCTCTCTTCCTTTGTTCCCAGACAGCAAGAAAAATGGGCTGATCAGCCTATGTGGACATGTGTGGGTGGGTGGGGGTGAAGCCAAAGGAAGCAAGTTAGCTCTTAGTCTTGAATGCTTTGGTTGCTTTATTCAGTGAATTAAATAACCTTGGTCTGGCTTCTGTGAAGTTTTAGTCTTCTGCGCTCGTGAACTTCCCGTTACCAGTAATCTTTTTTTCATTGTTTCAGACAAACACAGCTGTTCTGGGAAGCCCTGGCTAAACAGAAAATCAGTCTTTAAGGTAAGTCAGTGATATCCCATGGAGACTGCTGAGTTGAAGGCTTGAGCCAGGCTTAGTTTTTCAGCAAGCAGAAGGGGACAGTAATGACTTCCTATTGAACTGTACTGCTGACCCCAAATCCTCCTGTATTTACACACAGACTGAGATTTTTCCAGGACACTGGGCTTAATTTTGAAGTCTGGTGGATTACAAGGAGTAACTTTGAGGGTCACTATTCCATGGACTGTCACTGTGAGATTGTGTCTGGCCACTAATCTCTGAATTGCAATAGTTTATAAAGATTTTCCACCAGCAACAGAATACAGTGGCTAAAACCCCACCCTATCTGCTAACCAATAAACCAGCCAAAAAAACCCCTGCTTCTCACCAGTTAGAGACCTCTCTTTATGGTAGTGGCTAATGTGGAGACAGGCCCACAATCTGTAGGATGCTGTAGGTGGATGGATTTGGTCAGGAAGGCAGGATCTGGGCCTTTCCATCATGCTTAATTTCAGTCCTGCTCCTTGGAATTAGGATACTGAGCAACCAGTCCCAGAGTTAAGAGTGAACATGCAGGTGTGTTCCACATCCACGGGCAGGAGAAAGTCACTGGAAGTCATTTCAAAGGATGGAAAGGTGTTTTTTTTTTAAAATGCACCCTGAGCCAAGACATTGGGGGAAGCCTGAAAAAAAATAGCTGTGAGTCGCCATAGGAATGTTCCTTCTGCACACGGGGTTCACATTATCTGTAAGCTTTGGATGGTGGTTTCTACAATTCTCCTAAGACTATATATACTCACTTTGTTAAAAGAAGTTTCAGTTAGAAACAGCATGTATTTTTGCAATAGAAACTTCTATTTTTGCACAAGGCTGTAATGCTGGAAGCAAAATTCTTCTTAGCGGAGATGTGAAAACAGATGTCAAAGATATGTGTGTAAATATTTCTTTGCAAAAAACCTACTTATTTGTTATGAAATTATTCTTTTCTCCTCACCCCACCACTTAAATGGAAATGAATAATATCATTTATTTTGGAAAAATGAAAAAAATGTTTGATTGCTGTAAAACTAGGTATCTCCTGCTTATATGCTCCTCCTTTCTTTTAATCTTCAGAACTTTTAAAATCTAATTTTGGAATTTTTAAGAGTGTGTTTTTCCCATGTTGAACTAGCTTTTCAACTAGTTTTAGGGTTAATTTTGGGTAGCTGAGTGAGTTTGCTGCCAGAGCTAACACACGCTCTGATATGTATATCAGGTTCTTTAAATGTCTGAAATGTGTTCCGTTTATTTTTATTTCGTAGTCTTTTGACTAGGTCCTGTGTTTAAAAAAACATCTCCCTTTCTAAAGCTTAGTGTCAGTATGCTAGTTTTCAGCACGATTTATTCCATGAGGTTGTTGACTTTAATTATATTGTGGATAATATTATAATCAGACACTGTTACTTAGTGGCTCAATTATATTTGGTTTTTGGATCAGTTCCTAGGTATTACTTAGGACTAAATGAAAAAGTAAAAATAAAGTCTTGTTTTCTCATGTGCTGTAGAACTAGTTGTTCCAAAAAGTACTTGTTTATCATGTTGAGAAATCACTTCCTAAGCCATAGACCATGTGGTGGTTGACTAACTTGTATCCTGAAACACAGGAAGCCTGGAAAGGGCTGTCCAGATCCATGAGTACATTTACTTGATACTGGTCAACCTGGGTTTGGAAACCCTGCTCTGTCACAGAGATGACAGGGTTTATTCCCTTGCTGCAGTGTTCAGTGACTCTGCTGAAACCTTCCAACCCCTAACATTCTGTGATTCCGTGATTCTGTGATTCTGTGATTCCTGAGAGCTGTGGGCTCTGAAACAGCCCAAGGGGGAGTACTTGAAACAAAATCTGATTGCTAGTCTGTTGTCCTGCTGGGAAAACTTTGTGGACAATGCAGGGAAGGAGAGACTTGGTGAATTCCATAGGCTGTGGTGAACATGTCTGTTATTTTGGGGGTGACTGCAAATCACCTTGCTTTGTTAGTCTTCATCTACACCACTTCCCACAGGAATTCTTCTTCCATGAATGTTGGTAACTTGAGAGGACTCCTGATGAGATCTCCCTGGTATCTTATGCAGTGGCACTAACAGGTGCCCATCTCTGCTGGCACATTCTCAGGAGACAACTCAGAAACAGTATTCTGTGATCAGTCTTATGGTTGTTGGTTCATAGCTGTTCCTTTTGTTCCCCATTTACTTCCAGTTCATGAGCTCTTAATTTACAGCAGGATTCTTACTGCTAACCCCCATGGAAGACCTTGCCTTTTTGCTATTGCTTATCACCCTGGTTTTGATACTCCACCTTACAATGTCATCCTTTTCCTCCTGTATGAGCTCTTGGGCCTCTTTTCCACTGATGTTTCTTTCTTGCTGTGTATTATCAACAGAGTTCCTCAATAAGTATTCTCCTTTTAAGCCAGTAATTAATGGAAATATTCAGCAAAACTAGTCCCAAGAGAAGCTTAATTAGTAATTTCTCATCATTTCTCCTTTCCACTGTTCAGGCTTCTGCTCCATTTGTCTGGTCCTTACAATTTTGGTTTTAATGGTCATTTTCTCCAACTTAACTAAAAACTTGCCAGATGGCACTGGGGCCAAAGCTTTTCCAATATGTAGGTAGATGAGGATGACTGGATCTTCTGGGTCCTGATGTTTTTTGAGGTGAAACTTGTCACAGGGCTGAATATTTGTTGTCCTTGAAGTGTGGTAGAAGAAGGCAAGAAATATCCTCCTGTTTGGACTGCTTTTCAAAGGTGGCTCATGACTATGCACCCTATACCTTCAGGACAGATCAAGGTTGTTCTCATGCTCTGAGGAACAAGAGCTGCATGGTACCCTATTGCCACAGGTCTAAACTTTCCCCAAACTCATTGAGCACTGTAGGAGCTAAAGATTCCACTGTTGGACAGGAGCCTGCCACTGTTCTTTGGGTACCGAGCAAAAGTACATAGATCAAAAATGCATGTGCTAGATGTAAGGTGACAAGGCATCCTATAAAAACACAGCAAATCCCACCTTTGCCTCAATCATTTGGTGGTTCTTTAACTCCGTGCTTATGCTATCACTTTAATTTTGCAGCTAAGCCTGTAGGTCGGGCCACACTCCATCTTTCCCTGGACTAGACAAGCCATACTAACGAGCAGTTTGGTTAGTGAATATATATGATGGGTTTTCTGTCGTAACATCCTGAGCCATCTCTTCTGCAGCTGGTCACCCCCTCCATCACCTCACCTCTGCTGAGCTCAGTCTCTCAAGCTGTGCCTACCCTTACTTAAGGACCAGACCTGCCAGCGTCCTTGCCGAGCGTGCACAAGGCGTGGATTTCTGCTGAGCGAGGGACCACTGCTGCGGGTTGCTACTTGCTTAGCATCCCGGTGCGGTGCATGTGTCCTCCTGGCTTGGGTGCAGGGAGGGCCAGAAGCCCCAGAGCCCATCCAGTCCAGCAAGCACATGTCCTGGGTTGCCTGACGAGTTGTCCAGCATTGTTGCAGGTCTGCTGTGAGCAGTGAGTGTTCATCTCAGAGGCCTGGGTTTATATAAGCCTGCTCTTTGCCTTTGGAAGTTTCAGAGCTGCCTCCAAAAGCAGCTTTGTTATGCGAATTTTCAATCTGACATTGGCCTGTCTTTCAGCGAGGGGATCAGACAGTTACAAAAGGAGCGTGAAAGGAGATGAGAGAAGGATTTTGGCCTCCTGCTCCCTGTGGCAGAGCAGACGCCTTGTCCAGCTGCATGTCTCTTGTTAGAGCATGGCTGAGAAAGGAGAATGTGGAAGAGGGGGGGTTCTTGCTGCAAAAGGAAGACTGAAGCTTGTTGTCACCTCTGCCCGCTCCCTGCTCTCCTGGGCACAGATAGGCAGCCTGGATGTGACTGTGCCCCCACTAGACCCTGGTGTCTGCTCTCACTTTCTCCTCTCCCTCTTGGCTCGTTTCTTTGAGCTTGTTGGTTTCCTGGCTGTGGGCAGAAGGTGTTTATGACAGAGAAGGTGGTAGCCTGGGGGTGGATCGAGAGCAGGAGACAGAAGAGGGGAGGAGTCACTGATCAACACTAATAAATAAAAGGCCCTTCTTCTTCAGTCCAGGTTCCAGGACGCTGTGAGAGCTGCCCCCTCAGACAAGAGCTGAAGGCTGGCGAGGAAGCGACTGCTTAGTGAGTACACAGGGACTGCCTTGCTTTTCCTGGACGGCTGCTCATTATTAATGTCTTGCTGGTGCTTCATAGATAAAAAATGTTAGGAATGGTTGCTATGGCGTGTGTGTAACTTTGTGGTTCTCCACTCCAACAGAAGACATGTTGGAAGGCTATTTTCTGATCCCCCCTTTATTTGGGGGACTGCAGGGATGTCCCTGGCATTTGCAGGCAGTTCATCTTAGCTCCTCTTTCTGTATTTCTAACCAGTTGCTAGAAAGCAGGGGGATTGGGCTCACTCTGTTACCTCTTGAGCAACCCACTGATGCTGGGGAAGGGAGATGTATGCTGGAGAAGTATGGAGTGCAGGGGGAGTAGAAGGGAGATATACTTTTGCAAGGGAAAGTGTTCCCCGAAGGACGTTTGTTGGTACAGGGCTGTGTAGCTGGCATGTTCATTCATCCCTTGGCAAATGCATTGCCTCTGTGGTGAAAAATGAAATACTTGGGTTAAAGTGGTGTTTGTGGCTCTTTTCCTGTGGTTGATGGCAGAGGATGCTCCAGGCATTCTGGGATCAGAATCCTCTGAAATGGGAACAGTCTTCCAGGGAGCAGAGGGCTCTGCTCTGAGTGAAGATAGACAGATAAATAAAGAGGCTTTGACTGAAAGTGTATCAGAGTTTCCTGCTGTGCAGCCTCACCTTCACTACAAAGCAATCCCAGCATCTTCCTCTCTGTGCCCCACTGCTATCCTGCCGGGCTCTCTCTTCCAGTCTCTTCTTCAAGCCTCCCTTTCTTGGCAGCATCCATGAACTCTCAGAGTGTACAAGACAGTCAGGAAACCTATAAAGTCCACATTCAACACTAACTCCAAACTCGTGAGCTCTAAGGAATGCAAACAATCCTAGAGCAGAGATTTCCCTTAAAGAGATTGGAGTGGCAGGGCATGGAGGGATAGCAGAAAAGTCTAAGTTCTTTTCTGACCTTGTGTCTATAGCGGACTTCTGGCTTTTGCCCTGGAACAGCCTAGTTTTCCTCCTTATCTCAGGCTGAACACTGAATGGGCAGGACATGGATGGTATAGGAGGCATTGATGATGCAGAACTGAGCTGGGGTGGGATAATGGGGAAAAGCAATTCTTTCTCTTTAGTCTAAAGTTCAGCGTGCTGCTCAGCTCCTTTCCCAGAGACCACAGGCTTCAGACAAGGGCCGTGAGTTTGGCGTTGGAAGGGGAAATTGTAAAGCACAGAGTTTTCTTGTTCTCCTGAACTTTCACTCCTCTCTGGGGAAATGTTAGGCGCTGGCTATCTGTCCCTGGAGTTCCTGGCTGTGCCACCTGCAGCATGGCTCTCCTGACTGGCCTCTGCAGGTGACAGCAGTGACAACACTACACTGGCTTGGGGAGAATAATCTGCACCTAGAGTGCATTCAGTCTGTGCCCTGTCAGTGAGAAATCCTGATGCCTACATGTACAGATGAACCACACAAGTAATCGCTGCAGCTTGGATCAGATGTGACAATGGTCACTGTGCCCCAGGCTCATCCCCTGGCAGTGCATGGTTCCAACCCCACCACTGCCATGGAGGAGGGCTGGCAGGCACTGGGTACCCACCTTCCCTCCCTGCCTTGTCTCTAGCAAACTACTCCCCTTTGCTTTTCACTCAGTAGGGTTGTCTATCTCTGTAACTCCTTTCTTCTTTCACTCCCTGCCTCTGTACCACAGAGCTGGGGAGGGGAACACCTCATCCTTTGTCTCTCACTGCCGTCCATTACATTGGCCCCAGGCAAGCTTGTTAGGTGCTGGAAGGTGGGGTAATGCTCCCAGAGACTGCTGGCCTGGGAGATTCATCTCAGCTAAAAAAGTCTTGCATTGATATCTGACTGGTGCCCAGTGGGCAAGGACTGCTAGTGCTAGACCACAGAGGCAGCAATCCTGAGAGACACAGTTTACCTCTCCCTTCACCAAGATGTTCTTGGGCTGGAAAAATAGTGTAGGACCAGGAGAGATAAAGTGAGGACCTGCAGAGATAAAATTCTGGGTGCTGCTGTCATCTCAATGGAAAAAATCATGATCCTTCCAGCAGAAGGGATCCTTCTAGGTTGCTGCTTGTCACTCTTGGAGCAGTAAATTAGGAAACGGGAAGGGACAGTAGAGTCTAACGACTGGCAGGCTGGGACCACGGTGGGGGCCAACTGGAGGGAGGGGAACGAGTGTTTGAGGCCTCATTTTCCATGTCTCCGTCACCAAAGCTGACAGAACAGTCTGGACTGGGTGTATCCAGACAGAGGATGGCGAGGGCAAAGAGGGCAGATCAGAGGAAAAATTAGAACGGCAAACATTTACATTTGAGATCAGCACACACCTCTCCCTCTGGGCCCCTGGCAGCCCCTGAAATTCCTTCCACTTGCACAGGCCAGCTTTTCTGAGTGCAGAGTGCTGGTGACAAGCTTGCCCGTGAATTATGGCCCCCAGCCCTGAACGAAGAGAGAAAGGGGACATGCCTCCTCCTTCCTGAAACCCGATTCAATCTGCTAATAGAGGATGTTTTGTAATGGCTCCTCAAAGAATTTGTACCAGCCAGCTGTTGCCTTCTCCGGGCTCTTTAATGGGCCCCCTCCTGGTTCTATTTTCATAATAAACATTTCAACTGCTAATTTTACAGGCAGCCCAGGATCTCCATCTGCCCTCAGTGGGAAGAGAGGAAGACACAGTGAGAGAGAAAGAGTGAGAGATTCCTCCCGGCACTGGCACAATGCGCACTCTCATCACCCTTATGCTCCTGGCTGTCTTGGTGATGGCTGCTACTTGCTATGGTAGGTGACCTTTTTTACTGGACAGAGTGATAATTCCAAACCTGCAGGCATCTTTTCGTCTGTTTGGATGTTTTCTATGCAACTTTATGTCTTCTTTCCCCTTAACTTGCCTGCTTTTCTGCCCTTGTGTCAGATCCTCCTAGCCCTGCTCCAGAGCAGTCAGATATTCTAGTAGTTCTTATTTGTGGTCCAGGATGCTTCAGCCCTTCCGCTCTGTTCCATCTCACTTCACAGACTACTCCTCTTTCTTCCCCTCTGTTGTCTGGACTACAATAAGAGTCCTTATTCTTAATTCTTCCTTGTTAATGGGCAGATTTCCCTTTTTCCTTTTGTAATATCAGCCCCCTTTCCCTGTGAAACACACAGTTCCATATTGATGAAATTAAGTTACTGCTTCATGCAAGAGTTGAGCACATCTCATTGTGCTATTCCATTTCTTAAGAATACACACAGGCTTTGAAGGTAAGCAGGTATCTTCATTCGTGAAGCCTAGCCATGATGATGATCATATCCACTGTAGTGTCAGGAACATGAATATGAGGAACCATGCTTGAAAATCACACACTGGAAGACCAAGCACGAGCCTTGAAGTCCTGGCTAAGACAACAGATATCTCCATTATAAACTCCTGAACATCTTAAAGTCCTCATGTAAATGTTAGGTCACACCACTGATCCCTTTCTCTTAATTTTAAACATGGGCCTTAAAACCTGGCTTCTCTGATTTGTGTGTGTATTGATCTATGGTGTGTGAAAGACTGTGAATCCCATCAATACAGTGTCTTACCACATGTTTCACTCTTTTTTTTCCCCCAGAGTCCCATGAGAGCATGGAATCCCATGAGTATCTCAGTAAGAGACTGGTTTACTATTTTCTTTAATTAGAAGTGTGCTACAGACATCTCCAAGACCATTTCCTTGTACTTTACTGTAGGGATTAAACAGTTACAACCACTTAGCCCAGGGAAATTGAATTTAATGGGTGATGGAGTTTCAGGATGAAACGGGAGAGAGTTAAAAAAAGACTTTTCATGTTTGGGCACGAGCGCATACCACTGTTCTGCAAATAATTTGATGAGAATCAGAAAACAGAGTCATGACCCTAGATCCCTCCTGCACACTCCTAAACCGGGTTAAGTGACAGTAGGAAAGAACATTGCTTAAAAAGCTCTGTGATAAGCATGGAAAGTAGTACTGCATAAGTCAGGCATCATTTGTTCTCCCCCAAGGACAGGGAGAGCCTCATGGTCAGAATCGTGGAAGAAACAGGTGGGATGTGTGGGCAGGAGGGATCCTTCAGCTGGAAGAGAGGGTTAGTGTCACAAGAAAAGTATGAGGTGGAGAATCTCACTCTGAAACAAGCACAGAGCACAGATAGATCAAAATTAGGAAGAAGTGAGACCGTCTGGGAAAAAGACTTCACAAAGTAGCTAGTCAGAAACACAAAGGCATGTATGGTAGCTAATATCAGACATCCACAGACCCCATAACTGTGCAATAGGTCTGTGATGTTTCTCTAAAAGGACAGAAAAGAATTTCAGGCACCTCAGTCCAAAACTGCTGCGACTCAGTGACTGCCTAACCTCAGAGCCAGATAGACTTAGGCCCTTCCTGTTTTTACTTGTAATTTCACGATTCTGCTAATTCTGCTGAGCATGCCCAAACCTCCCATGGTCTGTGCATCTTGGCACCTATCTCCTGACCTCACCCAGAGGGGCTGTGGCAGCAAAATCACAGCAGCTTTCCCCTGGGTGGCTTGGGCAACAGCAGAGCAGAAGCAGTGTGTGCATATGGGCTGCACAAACCAGGGGGAGAACCTGCGCTTGAACCAGTGGAGTGGACAGCAGGCAATATTGAAAGGTCCTGGGTTTCACTGTGCATGGGAAGGTGGACAAGGAGTTTGTTATAAATATGGAAGCTAGCTTTTGTTGCAAAAGTGTCTGTCTGCTCTGAACAACCCCTTGCCTTCTCAGATCCCTTCATCAACAGGCGAAGGGCCCATGATTTTATACAAGCTGACACAAGACTAGAAGCCATCTCCCAGGAGAGGTATGTTATGGCATTGAGGATGGGAGTGGGGAGAGGTCTCTCCTTGCCAAGAACAGGCTGGTACCAGGGATGGCAGCTACAGTTATTTCCAAGAAGCCTCAGTGCCTCTCTCAGCATGAGGTGTCTGTGAAGTCTCCAATGCTGGGAGAAGCCAGAACTCAGCAGAAAGTGAGCCCTTGTGTTTGAGGACATGACATGTGCTGGGATGGCTCTGCTTAGTTTGTCTGAAGGAGACACCAGCAGAAGGAGACTCATTGTGGGATAGTCAGAAATGAAGCTCAGTTTGAGATCTGGTTCTAGTCCTTGGATCTCATGCAGAAATTGCATGACTTTTTCTAAATCACATGGCCATCTGGGGACCTCCTTGACTCATCTATAAAATGCAGGCAGTTTCATGTGTCATGCAGGGCTAGTGAAAAATAAAGGCTAAAGCACAGAAATCATCTCTTGGCAAGAAGTGGAGGCAAACCTCCATAGTACCAGATGACCCCTTTGCAGGACGTTGATCATAGAATCATAGAACGTGTTGGGCTGGGAGGCACCTTTAAAGATCATCTAGTCCAACTCCCCTGCAGTGAGCAGGGACATCTTTAGATCATATTGCTCAGAGCTCCATCCTGTTTCAGATCTGTGTTCCACGAGCGGCTTTCAGGAAGAGCAGAAGACCTGAAGGCAGGAGGCTAGGGGTGTGTGGAGGGAGGACTCTTGCCCAGGTTGAGGCAGGAGCTGGGTGAAGAAATCTGATGATGGACCCTTAATCCTGGTGGGGGGTTGTGGGACAGGAAAAGGCTGCAGACGGATGTTTAAGATGACAGCATTTATCCTTCATCTCTCCTACTTTTGCAGGATCAGGGAACGCAATAAGGCACCCCAGGAACGTCAGAGGGAGATCTGTGAGGACTACTACCCCTGTGAACTGTATGCTTTTCGCCATGGCTATGCTGCTGCTTACAGGCACTATTTTGGGAGGAGGAGGACTAAGTAAAAGATGTCCTGTCCCCACCCTGGGGCCTGGAGCCCAGGGTAGCCTCCTCCAAAATGCAATGGGCCTGAAACATATTCAGCTGCTTGTGTCCCTGTATGTTATCCTGCCTGCTGCTTCTCTCCCATGTAGCCATGGATTCCTACACTGTGTTAATTAGCCCTGAGCTGATGTAGCAAGGATCAGAGAGAGTTCAGGATGTGGGTGTTTACTACATAATAAACTGCTGGTTTGATACTATCTCCTCATGAGTCACTGTATTCTGGTGGGGGGGTGTGTGCAATTTTCCATGAAGAAACTGAGTTTGTTTATCTTAGAATCTGTTGAGGATTACAGAAAAAAAAAAAAAGCCACTACCTTGCAATCACATGAGTTTGAAAGGGTCTACAATGTTTTTGTTCCTGTGTCTACAAGTGGTCTCTTTTAGAAGTCACTGGCAAAGTTCAATTCCCAGTTTTAAGACATCTTAAAATGGCATGGTGTTCAGAAGGCAGGGTGAAATGCACTTTTTGAAAATGAAATCTACAATACCTTTCCTCGATTGAGGAAACAAAATTCAGAAGGTGACTGATTAAAGTTAGGGTGAGAACTAGTGTCAGAAAAAGCCTTTAAATTGCATCTTGTTTATTCAGCTACCCTCAAGTCCTGATGTAGGGTGCTACTGAAGAAAGGAGTATGTAGTCCAGATTTGATTCATATTTCCTTTTGGAATCCCCTTTCATAATTTTACTTCCATTTGAAATGATTCTGGTACCACTAGAAAGCTGCAGAAACCAAAGAAGAGGGGCTCCAGGTGGTAAATAAACAAATAAAAGAAACTCAGTGTTTGGGTCCAAGGCCAACTTTGTTCAGCCTGGAACAATTTCTTTTTACTGTTCATATACCATCTGAAACCAAGATGTGGCCTGACCCTGTGCAGAGGTTGCTGAGCACCTCCCAGCCTGTTGGGGAGTGAGCATGACCACTGTCAGGTTGTTATCACCACCAGCACCAGGGCACCTCGCAGAGGTGCCAAGAGGCACCAGTGTTGTTATGCCCAGGAATTCAATGTTGCTCTGGGCCGGTCAGCAACCACAGCAGCTCCGGCACTCTTAGGGAACTTAACATCTTCTATCTCTGCTCAGCACAGCTGGTTTCAATATTCATATCCCAAGGCTTCCACAGGCACCTGTAAATTATAGACGTGGGAAGATTCATGGCACTCTATCAAAGGCTATGAGGTATAAAGCATCATATTGTTGACTAATCTGTGAATTTCAGTCTGGAGCCAAATCTACCAGCCACATTAGAAACACACATCTTCTTCCAAATTATCCTTCAAGGCTTTGCTAGCTTAAAAATTAACTTCTGAAAAGAAATGGGATTTATTTACTGAAAATGCTTCCAATAGCAAACTTCACCCCAACATTTGCTAAAGTCTTGTCCAAAGGAATGAGAGCCGAGTTAAAAGAAAAAAAAAAAAAAGTAGGTTAGACATATTTACATCTACACTTGTCCTGCGTGTTCCCAAGTACCAGAGCAAAACTTTCATACCCAAAAGTCAACAAGTCTGCAGTGTCTGGTTTGACTTGACACTGTGACACTACCAAAACAGAAGGTACAGAGCTAGTGTTGTCTGAGTCTGTGTCCAGAAATATCTTGTGATTCTGAACTTCGGTTTACCAGTATAAATGATACCAGAGATTTCTGTGGGATTTCATTAGTGTAAGCAACAGCCAAACATGTTTAAGAGAATACATGCTGGTTAGAATGCTTGGGAAAGGTTGGAAAGAGAAGTAAAACTGCTTGTATTACTAGAGCTGTATATTTATATTCTTTCAAGTATTCTTTTGGAAGCATAACTTTCCTAGAATACCATTTATTTATTTATTTATTCATAAAGTGGTGTTCTTTAAGATGCTTTTGCAGCTTTTTTTTCCCCAAATCTTGAAATTTCACTAAGCTAGAGTGTTTCTAAGGATTGGCAAAATCTCTAATGGCTCTGACTGCCCTTGGGAGCCTAATTTTAGGCTTTAATTTTGTGGCTCTTTGACAAGCTCTCCGTATGTGGGGCTGAGGAAGACTGGGTATGCGGTGGAGGAAGATGTGATCCATATGCTATGGGACACGGCTTTGGGAACTTGAACGGTGGGTTTAGAGAATAGGCTGTAGAAGAACCCATGCAGGACTCTCGACATGCCAAGCTAACACAGCTACCCAAGTCCTAAAGAATAAGACATTCTGGGAGTCTAAAAGTTATTTTTGATTTTTAGACAAGAGAAGCTGTACTAAAGCCCCCAAACTAGGAAGATTTCCAGGGAAAAAGAAAAAAGAAAACCCTCTCTCAAACTAACTACCAAAGTTCCCAACAGTGTAAAAATACCAGCTTTCCAAAGTGATTTGGTGAAACAGTGTGTTTGCCCTATGCAAACTGTTTCATGGTTTTCTTTGCCTTTAGAGGAAGAGATCAGGATGGGTGGAGGAAAAGAGTTGCCACTGGGTTCAATCTCATTTGTTTTTCCACGTGAGAGCCTCATCACACGAGAAGAGCTGCTTGACTTCAGGGTTTTCTGGTCTCTCCCGCAGTCAACACAAATATTTCTGGCAAACAGCTGAATTACTTTCATGTTTATAGTAGAACTGATTTTTTAATCCAGTTGTTTTTCTTCAACACTCCCATTCAAAACCTCAGATAAAATCTTCTGGAAATGCCACAAATTCTGAGATGGTTGTCAAAATGGCTGCCAGGACCCGATATCTCCTGGGCCAAAGGACTGGCTTTGTTTTGGAGCTCAGACACAGGAACACACGCCAGAGCTGTGATCTCTCCAGGCAATCACAAGATATAAACTGCTGCCTGAAAGCAAGCTCTGGAGAACTTCAGTAGCCTCCAGGAAAGCTCCGAGTTTAGGGAGACCAGCGCAGCCAAAGAAGACATGAGGAGGCTGCTGGCACCACTGATGGTGACTCTGGCCCTGGCAGCTCTCTGCTGTTGTGAGCAAGGTAAGGAGGCGTCTTCCCGGGATGGCTTTTGGAAGCGCTGCCTAACTCTGCAGCTTGCCGCCAGCCTCCCTTCGGTCTGGGAGAGACGGACGGCTTCGGAGGGAGGAGGTCATTGCACAACTTCAGATCTCTGTTTGAGAGGCAGTCATGCACGAGAGTGGGCTTGGAGATAGAGAGCCTCACCTCTTGCTGGGCACTTTCCACCACTGGTCCAACTCCTCACCCCTCAATTACTCCATTGAATTCCAGCAGAGAATTCAAACCTTTTAGTATGTTTAAGTATTAAACCAGTTTAGCGTCTAGGTGAACTGGCAAAGGTGTGCTGTATGCTCACTCTTGAGTAAGAGAGTTGAGCTGCAGATATATTTGTGTTGACCACAGGGAGAGCGATTTTGTGCCTGCCAGCCCTGGAGTGCTGTAGGATCAGAGAGATAGGCACCAAGTCAAGACTTCACCTGCAGGGAAATGTGGGTTGTGGAGAACTGAAGGGAAAAAAAAGCCTCCATTTAGTGGTTAAAAAAAAAAGGGGAGTTATCCCACTGAGATAAGAGAACATCATGTCTGAAGGTGATTTAGTGATGGTGACTTCATGATGAAGAGATAGTAACGTAGTGGCAGCTCTATAACTGATGAAGAAAGGGAGAAGAGGAGAAAGATCAGAAAAACAAGTGCTTTTCCTTTACAGCAGGAAAAGAGAAGCTGAGCAAGAGACAGCTCGGTCTTTTTCTATACTATCTCATTCAGAATTAAATTTTGTTCAGTCCTTGGCATCAGATGTGTCGTGATTCAATACTGGCAAATGTATTTTGTTTGATCAGTGTTTTCCTCCTGTCAGTATCTTTTTTGCTTTTTCACTCTTGAGTATATATCTGCTTTTTTCATTCACTATTATCTTTCAGAATGCTTAATGGCTTCAGAGTGACTTCTAATATTCTATTTTTTTTTTAAATCCAGGAAATGTATACATTGCTTAAAAATAAATCTACATAGAGCCCTTTTCACACAAAGTTTTTGTTTAAGCACAGTTGCTATTTTTTTTGGTCCCAAGAGTCCTCTTTCTGCCCATAAATATGTTTATGTCAAGTACCTGGTGACTTGGGTGGAACTGACACTGTTGAAAAAAAGGATGGTGAAATCGTGGAAGAAAAAAATTGTGAAATAGGACAGTGTGGGATTGCCAAGATTAAGAGACCTTCCATTTCTCTTAGAGGATGCTTTCCTCGCATGTTTGTAGGAAGCATTAAGGATTAAGATTAGGACTGGACAAGAAATACAGTATGTAAATTCCTCTTGGGAAGGCTGGTGAGCCAGGTACCTTGCCCTGAGCCAGAAAGCTGTGAGGACAGTTTTTCCTAATTTTTGGCCGTATTTCTCTTCCTTATCAATAGTTTGTGATTTCTCACTAGGCTTAAGGAAACCTCTCTTTCCAAAGACAGAGGAGATGCTCAGCTATCTTCAGGTTCCGTCCAAGTTAGGGGTTTTGCTTAAACAGTCCCCTGTCTTTAGCTGTCCCTGCTCTTAGCAAGTGTGGGGAGGGAAGAGGAAGGTCTTCCTCCAGCTTCTGCAGTGATTATGTTTACTGTATCATTTAATCTGGCTCAGAGAAAACTGGAATTAAACAGATCCAGGCATAATGGGTGAATTTTGTTGTTGTGGTGAAGTCTGTCTCTAAATGGTGTGTATTAATAAAACCTTTTTTGTGAGGAACAGACCTTCTGAGAAAATGGGGGGAGCTGGACCCAAGTAGTGGGCAGAGAGATTCACTGACAGTGCAGAACAGAGGAGTAAGCAAAATCCTTTCTATCTGTCTTCCAGATCCCAAAGACACTTCAGGGTCTTCCAGCACTGACAGTGAGTATGTCATTGTGACTGATGCTCCTGTGACTGCTTCCTTTGTCTCTCAGCTCTGCAGTGCCTGTGGTACTGGAGCACCTGCAGCAAACGTGGGGGCTGCCTTTCACAGCTATGGGGGCAGGACACACCAGGGAGATCAGCCTTCCTGCACTGGCAGCCCAGCATCGCTCAGGGTGTGCTTGTGCCATAGCCTGCATCTCCACAACCCTCAAGCAGCTCCCAGGCAAGACGAGTCATGCAGGTTGTCAGCAGCTGGATGCATCTGCCCTCTGCGAAACAGGGTGGTGTGGGTGGATTAACATGGCCAGTCTCCCTGCTCTGCTGAGGTGGCCTCAGAGACCTGTCCAAAGTGACTGCTGTGTCCACAAGCTAAGAGAGCAGAACCTGCCCCAAGGCCTCCAGGCGCTGTTCTTCTGACCAGTCTGTCTGGTGTGCAGGTTCACAGAGCAGAAAGGTTTGGTCCTACATGACAACTTGATATCCCTGCCAAGTCCTACAGCCTTGGAGATCTTGAAAGCGAGTGCCTTCCTTGGCTGTTCATGAGAGTTGCAGTCCCACCTGTAGGGTTTCCTGGGACATGGGGATTTGCACACCTTGAGATGTCCACAGCTTTTGCAGCAAGCTGATCATGGCACAAATCCGTATGGACAATCCCATTCGTTCTCCTGTCTCTCCTTTCTCATACCTTAAAGGATAACACTGCTGCTGAGGAGCATGAAAGCTAGTATTTCTCCAGTGAGCCAATATGAATACAGATTGGGAAAGAGAAAAAAAAAAATAATGAATACTGTTCAGGGAAAGGTGATGATTTCTGACAGCTCATTAACCGGCAGTTTCTGTGTAGTCGGTATTTTAATCCAGACTAAACTCCAGGGGACACCTCTCACTTGCCAAAAGGAAACACAGTCAAACACCTCACAATAATAACGGAAGGGCACAAAACCCACCATCTCCCCACAGGCAGAGGCCTTAGAAACTTACTTCCCACAGTGACAGCAACAGCTTGCCAGCTCCCCGGCTGAAATGTGTCTTGGTGTGCAGCTGCCTGTGTTGCTGCTGTGCTGGCACCTGTGCACACCTCAGCTGGTGTGGGTCCATCCCATGGAGACGGGCTGCACCGTGCTGAGTCCTGGCTAGAGATGGGGAATGAAGTGGCTCTACCTTCTGTTTGTGAGGTGCTCCACAGCACTCCTGTGTTTGCAAAACCACAAACTCAAGGGAGCAAATAAGCAACTGCGCTGACATGATGTGTTAGTGGAGGCCAGGGGCCAATGCTGTCATGGCAGAAAAACCTCTCATGTTCTCCAAGTCCTAACGACCAAGATCTTTGCACCTCCTGGGTGTATTTCTCCCTGGGTGATGTTTACTGTCATTAACTAAACCCTTCACCTTTCACAGAAATCTGCAAGTGAGACCATTGGTATTTCCATGTGCTGCCTGTGGCTTAAGGCTCATTAAAGGCATTTTTAGGGCCTGGTGGCTGGTATCCCAGGCTCTCAGTCTTAGTAAAAATACAGAAAAGAAGCCAAGACCGAACTTAAGTTGGCTAGGGAGAATAGGATACCATTTGCTTAATTTTCTCCTTATCTGTATGTTATGTTGTCATGACTTTGCCATCTGCACATTTGCTATACACTCAGATCATGCTGTGTGATGAAAGAATGGAGCTTACGACAGAAAAGGCCCTTGCTCCCTGTAGATGTGCAGGTTAGAGTGAGGAGGGAGCCCAGCTGTTGGGCTTTGAGCAGACAGTGGGGTGGGGAGAGATGAACAAGAAATTAGGATGGTTTGTGGCCATCCCCTGCTTGTGAACAGAGTAGATTGTCCATTTTCAGAAGTTCGAAAGGTCTCTGTTTTTCACAGATCATGGCTCTGCATCTCTAACCCACCGTGTCCTCTCTTGGTAGGCATCAAGATTAAAAAAGAGGTTGCCAATGCCTTTGTGAAGAGACAGAAAAGGTTCAGCGTATATGAAAGGTAACAACTCACGAGTCAGGCTGAGAGCTGGACTTTGGACCTGTTCTGAAGAGGGGGTGGGAGGGCAATAGGACATAACAAGGCATTGATTTGTTGTACATCTATGTTATTACCTTCATGCATTGAAGAAAGAAGGCTGTAGGAGACACTTACTGATAGATAAGTGGTTCTTTTTTCATAGATATCCTTTTGAGCACTCATAGCTGGACTCTGATATTCTTCCCAGGGAGCCAGACAGTACTACCTGTCTGGACTAGCCATGGTGACACATGAAGTAAGTTAGAAGATGCTCTAACCTGCAAGGTCATCAGAGCCAGTTTCCTGGATAATAAGTGTCACAGAGCCTTGGTCGTTGCCTCTGGCTCCCTGTAAAGGAGGCACAGCTCTGTTGCAGGGATGAGGCTAGATCAGAATGGCTGTTCTTTCTGAAGCTGTAGATCCTACATATATTTGTGCAGAAATCCTAGTCGCAAAGATTTGGAGAAAACTCAGCTATAAATATTTGGGCAAATTTGAGGTCATCCAAGAATGTTCTTCACATATTTCCTGGAATGGCTTGTTAAATCGCTGTCTCATGTAGGCTTGTGCAAAAAAAGAAATTTTTATTCAATCCATCTTTGGACTGGAAACATAATAACTTTTTTTATATAATAAAATATTGGGACGCCCCCTCTCTGGAAGAAAGGATCGGAGTATTGCAGCAGAGGAACTCACTGATGTTGAAACTTGCAATGATTAAAACCACAATGAAATTCAGTAGTAGCAAGTGTACTGACAACCTCCTTACAGGTGGGGCATCATACAAGTAGATTCTGCTATAAGCATTAATCAGGAAAGGCTGAGGTAAACAGACAGCTCAGAGTATAATTTGATCACGAGGTAAGGTTAGTCTGGAAACACGCATACAGCAAATGGAATTCAAGCATGCTGCAGGGTATATCCAATACAGAAACAACAACAAAAAAGTGAAAAATAATGATGGGACTTCTTCTGTAGCATTGTGTACAGTTGTCAGGAAAGATCAACCAAACCTGGAACAGGAGTTGAGAACAGTGTATAGCTGAGACTAAAACATTTGGATTTGCTTAGCCTGACAAAAGAAAACCTGAATGGGGATAGTGCTGTTGTCAACAGAAGTGAGAATGATTAGCAGAAACTCCTTAAACTAAAGGAAAATAGTGGCTAGCGGGAAAGTGACATGAAACTGGGAGCAGATAAAGGTAAGAACGTAATAATTAATTACTTAAACAAACAAACTAACAAGTAACAAGAAATATTCCTGTGTAGTTAGGCAATGATTATGGGGACAAAAATCTCCTTTGGTGGTAAAACCTGAAGAGGAATTGCTTTAAATTGGGTCTTCCCAGCATTAAACAAGTAGTCTATCCCCATGTACACAGATAGTTAACCTACCATCTGCCCTGTTGAGGCACCCTCAGGAATAATTCTTCTCATGTTAGTGTCACAGGTGTGAAACCTTTCCAACTTCATCAACTGAATCTGCAGAATAGCATTTCTCTCTTTATCCACTCCAGGTACCTCGAGTATTACAAAAGTCCAATGGAGCAGATGCATGAGCGTTGTGAAAATTACCCTCCCTGTGACTACCTCTCTGACCAAATAGGATTTTCTATGGCCTACAACCGTTTTTTTGGGAGATACTGAGACAGCCACTTTGTCCATTTTCCTTGGGATCACTCTGAACGCCCCAGGAGAAAGAAAGTTGTGGAAGGAAGAAAATCATCTAGACTGAGTCCTTCTTCCATCGTCTCCCTAGCCAGCTGGAATGGCAAGGCAATAATTATCCCACTTGTTGAGCAATAATTATCCCACTTGTTGCTTTAGCTTCGTTCATTTAATCAAAACTATTTTTCTTCAGTTGTCATTTGTGGTATTTTGAGCTTCACCAGATTGAGAAGACTCTGTCTTACTTCCTTTCACTTGAATCCCCATGACGCATAGGTGAAAAAACTGATTCCTTTCAAGAAAATAAATGTGTGCCTTAGAAACACAATGAGACCTTTTGTCCTCTTCTATGAAATGCAGGAGAATTTTAGAAGGAGAATGACACAATGTGTAAATGTGATGGCTCTGATCCTGGGATGCTCACTGGGAAGAAGACAGAGTGGCTGCCTCCTTGTACAATGACTGGGAAAGTTCAGTATTTTCAGGTAGTATAACCACCTTAAATATGTGCCAGTGTAGGATCATTTTGTAAAATTAGAAATGTAGAAATACTATTACATAGACAGAAATCAGGTTATGGTACACTTTGCTGATTATTCTATCACAAAAATTTGCGTATATAACAACAAAACGTAAATCCTAAAAGGTCTTTTTAAAGGGTCCTCCTAGATGAGCCCTTCCATCTGTGTGTTGCATTCAGTGATTGACTGTAAAAAGTAACTTGGAAATTTCTCATTGTTTCTGTTACAATTGGTTTCTGGTGAAACTGAATATACCCAAGAAGAACAAAAAAAATCTGTTCCTCTCTGATGCTTTAGCATTTATGCTTAAAAGCTCAAAAAAAATACAGAAAAAACCCCCTTGAATAAACTTTATGAAATACACAAAACCTAGGATGAATTGAAGTTGCGTTAGCATTTGTTTTGTTCTAGGCAACTTGTATCTCTCTCATACATTAAAAAAGCCCCCACATGTGTGTTTATTTATATGCATATCCTCTCCTGTCTGCACTACTTCATTCTGTTCTCTGGTATGAATATTATACCTGAGCAACTTCCTGCACAGCCTCCCTTGAAGTGCTCTGTCAGCTTTTCTTTCCTGAGAGGTAGACGACAGATCCCATCTCCAAGGACAGGGACTGCTGACCCTCAGGACACTGAGAAAGATGGAATCTCTCCAGTTGCATGTAAGCTGGTGCAGCGAGCCCCAGCTGCTGGCTGCAATAAATACTGCTTATGGCAAGCGCATTAGTGTGCTCCTTTTCTCTGTTCTGTATAACTTCTATCTGTGGTTAGGGATGCCCAGAAGATAAAGCCTGCTCCTGTGAAACCTAGAGAGCAGGATCCAGGTGCCTGAGTTTCCTTCTCCCCTTCCTTTGCCCCAGTGGGAATCACAAGTGACTACAATGAAATTCAGGTCATGATCCCAGCACACTGTGACAGTGAGGGAGAGGAGGGCTGAGCTTTTCACGATTCACCATCTACCAAGTTCAGCATGTCTCTGAAAGACCTTGTCCTGAAGTAAGCACACAAGATAAGTGCACAGAGGCGGCTGTCAGTGTGAGTGTGAGCATGTCTGGTTTGGCAAGCTGCTCTGGCTTGTAGCAGCTGTGTTGAGCTTGGCCAAGGAGAAGACAGTTAATAAGCACCTCTGCTTGTCTTGGTCAAACACCTGAGACTGGTTCCACTGTTGGCATATGCCCCATATGATGGGGCTTCACTGCTCACAGTGAAACTCGCCTCCGAACTCCATCTAGTAAAAATGAACAAAGTGCTCATTCAAAGCAGTTAAAATTTTGCGGTGAAAAATACTAGAAAGATTAGTGAAATATTAATATCTGTTGTACGAAAAAGTTAGGATTTCTGTTGTTGTTGTATGGTTTTGTTCACACAAGAAGAACGTCAAGCTTGCTGTCTATATTTGAGTTTTTCTGCTAGTGTTATATTTTTCTCTTCCTTGAAGTAAATATTTTTTTTCAGGGAAGTTGCCCATGAAGGCCTCAATCATGTAATCTGCTTTTTGTCACCGGATCTCTATATGGACTGAATTCTGTACGACCTCTGGGGAGCTGAGTGCACAAATCATGTTACAAATTTACTGATCAAATGGAGGAACTCCATTTTCGCCTGGTTAATGGAGATTTAAGTACCACTACAAACTCTTTGCTGCCATCTTGTGGCCATTGTATTTATTGTAGTTAATAAAACACTGCTGCTTTTGAAGCATTTGAAAACGCAAATCCCATGGGCTTTCTTCCCCGTTCACTTCATACTACAACACATACTTAGAGACCAGAAGGCAAAAATAGGGACAAAATCTGCAATCGGATTATATGCAGCTGAACTGACATTTTAGTGATGCTGTTTATCCTGATTGTCAAGTACCCACTGTTGCCTGTCACCATTTAACTCCTTTTTAACTCTACACAAATAGAAGAGAAACCTTTGAATAAACTCACAAGCCCTTCTGTCGACTCACTTTTAGAAAATAACTGCATTCTGAAATACGGCCCTAGATAATAGAGCAATTCCAAGAAGAAGAAGTAGGTAGGCTGCATTTATTGCTTTGCATTATCCTTAAAGCCATCATCTCATATTAGCAGTGGTTGATCTATAACGCTGCACCAGCTGATGCAGCTGATGCTGCTGGTGCAGTGTTATAGATCACTTTGAAAGAAACCTGGCATAAGACCTTTATGCCAGGTCTCACCTTATTTTAGCAATACTCAGCTAATGCTCTCTGTCCACATACTCCAAGCAGCTGCACATGCACTTTTTTTTCCCAGGGAATCACAGTGTGAACTACAAGTGTCCCCCTCACCCAGTCTATAGCTAGCAGGCAATGGAGAATGGGCGTCACTTCTCTGTAGTCAGAATAAGGCCCTGACATCTCCTTTTGGTTCTTTTTTCCATACAGAAGAGTTGCCAGAGGCCATGGGTCTTTGCAGGTGAGTAACTCACTGCCCTTTATTGGTGGGAAGTAATTGGAAAGCAGCTACTACCGAGAGGTTAGTCTCAATATAGGATCTGTATTTATACACTCATGCAGTGGTGTAAGATTGGCAGCATAATATTAGAAGCAAGGGGGAGCTGAGGAGAGGGACAGTTCCTTTATCTCTGCTTGCAGATGGATCCCAACCTAGTCTGCATTTCTATGTTGGCTTTATCAGAGCTCTACACTTCTTTAAAAGGGCTTTTTAAGCTCTTGACCAAGGAGCGCTCTTCACCTCATACTGACACACCACTTTTTGAGAGAGAACTGCTTTAGACTTTGCTAAGCCAGAGTTTTCTTGGGTTTTGCAAGAACAAGAGCACCAGATACTTTGCAATTAAGAGAACTATCAAGGTGAAAGACACCTACATCCGCTGAAGCTGGTGCATCCAGAACCTTCCTGATGGATTGTGGGCACCCTTCTACCAGTAACGTGTCTGTTTGGATTGATTAATGACTTCTGAATTGCTTTAAGAATCTGCTGAATGATTGTTGGTTAAAGAATTGTTACCAAAACTTGAGTGCAAATTACAGACTGCAGAGTTTTCCAGTTCAAGGAAAAAGGCAAAGAAACGGATGTAAATGATGTCTACTTGAGCAAAATGTTCTTTACAGTGTCCTGGGTGGACTCCAGGATGCCAGTGCTGCTGGCCAGCCTTCTCAGCCTTCCGTTGCTGTTCTCTTCACAGACGCTGGTAAAAGGGGTAAAGAGTTTTCCTTATTTGAAATGGTGAAATTGCTTACACCATTGATTTTTTTTGTTTGTTTTCTTCTGTTTGAAACATGTTCTTGAAGGAGTTTTGGGTTTGGTTTCAACTCTTCTGCTTTCACTTGCTCTGTTCCATTTCTTACCTGTCCTAGTTCCTTTTAACTTGGCTGGAAATTTTCTCTCATTTGGAGCCAGATGGTTTTCCAGGTTGTGTTTGTGAGTAGATCTCATGGAATTGTTCCTCTCATTTTCCAGCCTGTTTCAGCCAAGGCTCTCACAAAATCAATGTGTTGTTGGATGGGATGGTGACAACATTGTTCTACTTCTTATGACTGCCTCTTATCTTTCCCTCAAAACAATCCTAGAGAGATAAATTCAATCTCTGTATAGTTTATGGGCCACTATAACTTCAGAGGCTAAAGAAGGTATGAATTTGGTTATATATTTAGGATGAATATTTGAGACAAAGTGAGTATCTACTTGTAGAATTCAATTATCAACTGACTACAGTATTTAACTAGTCTAGTAGGAGATCAAAAAAGCAAAAAAGAACAACACCATAACTCGCACCATTTCTTAGATCTTATTATAGAAGCCTTTTACTAGTTAGAAATGCTAGAAATAGATAATTAGAGTGTTGTTTCATAGACAGAAAATATTAGAGGTTACTTTCCTGTTATAGCACCCAGTTGTGCAAATCCTTACTCATGTGGTTAATGTTTATTTATCTGACAAGTCCAGCTGGCCTTGCTGAGACAAACTGGATGAACAAATGTTTTGGTACACTGCTACTATATTGTCCTTTACTGAACGTCATTACCTGGAGCCAAAACATGTCTGAGAGACATGACAAGACAGGAAGAAGAAATTTATCTCTGGGAGTGTTTAGGCTGTACTACCCTTAGTGCATAGTTTTGCATATTCTTTCCTTCTTCAAAATCCCTTATTAATCATAAGCAGAATATTGAAGCAAATGGACCATGGGTCTGTCCTGTAGGCTCTATGCCCTTACCTTCTCAAGGGCCTCAACTTTCCTGAAGTTTTTAATGCCACTGGTCCATATCCAATAAGAACTTCGGCATCCGGGCTGGCATTTGCCTGAGATAGGGCTTTGACAATAATCTGAGGTTGCTCAGGAATGTCTTGTCAAAAATGCCTACCTGCTATGCTTGCTTTGCTAGTAATGACAATGAGGCAAGAAGAGCGTAGGGAAAAATTTGGCTTGCATCTGTAGAGATACATAAAAAATTCACACGATGCCAATATTAACTTGCTTTTATGTTGCAGACTGTGTCCCATCTCATGATGGATATGGCTTTGCATTCCTTTGATGACCAGTATCTGGGGTGCAGAGAGCAAGTGATGGAAGAACTGGAGCGAGGAGACTATTTCCAAAAGGAAATAGCTGCTAATAAGGACTATTTGAGTCTCTGGAAGAAGGCTCAGAAGGCTTTGTTAAAGAGCCCTGTAGGTCTCCTGAGGGACATGCATGAGAGCCATGCCATAGTCCTCATGGCTTACACCATGAACTCTTCCCTGCACTCTCAGCTGAACTGGGCCACATCTACAGCAGGAAGCTCTCCAGAGCACTACAGAAACAACTTCAGTTTCAAATATTTTCACTTTTACCTAACAACTGCTATCCAGATAATGAAACAATGGCAGAGCAGCAAGGAGAGCACAGGGAAACAGAAGTGCTACCGGGTGCACAGAGGTGTAAAAGACTTACATATCGAGGCCATGGTGGGCAGTAAGGTGCGATTTGGCCGTTTCACTTCCACTTCCCGCCTCTTGAATCAAGCCCAGAAGTTTGGGAACGAGACTTTGTTCACAGTGACTACTTGCCTGGGAGCAGCTGTACAAGGGTTTTCTTACTACACATCTGAGAAGGAGGTCCTCATTCCACCTTATGAGATATTCCTTGTCAAAAGCTTCTTTCGAACAGAGCACGGTAACCGACTGCATTTGCATTCTGCAGGGAACTACAGCAAATATCAGTGCCAGCTTGTTGAAGGTATTTATATAGCCTTTCATGAAAGGGGGGCACAGGACAGTCTGGTCTCAAGTACCCTAAGCAGCCCTCACTAACTGCACCTACATGGGCCACACTCAAGGTCAAATCTGTAGCTTGCCCTCTGTGTTTGCCTACGAGAGCCACATGACCCAGTTTTTACCTGTTTGTTGTGAAACCTGGGAGCACCCCACTAAAGATGATACACAGCAGGTCTCAGTGTTTTTTGCAGCCTGCATTTGCAAGGATGCTGCAGGACATATGCATTCAGGTTACCAGCATTCCTATTGCAAGGGCAGACAGGATTTGCAGACATCTTGGATTCAGATATTTATTCTGGTGGCTCGCAAGGCTGCTACACTTTAGGCCACAGGATTATTCTGGACTTTGGTCCACTACTATTCTGGTAAGTGTAGACAAAGCTATTGTTGCTTTAGTGATGTTCTCTTTCCTGTTACAGAAGGGAGGAAATCTATCCTTTGGCAAAGCACACACTCTGAGTTTTCTGGCTATAGAGGTAACTGTTCTGGATAACCTCACTGGGCCTGTTTCACATTCCTGTCCTTCAATGAGCCCACCACCATTATGAGACTCTTGCTTTTGTCTCTTTGGACAATAGTATGTCCATGCAACCTTTGAGGACAAAACAATCATTCAGGAATGAGAGTTTGTGCCTGGATGTAAGCCAAAGTAGGTGGCAGAGTTGAGAAAATGGATCTTCTGGGCGAGGTCTTTGTTAATAAGTGAAGGAAGCTTTAGGTAGCCAAAAGGGGTTTAAATGGTTGTTCTCTTGATTTTCTTTCAGCTTCAAGAAGCAAGAACAGCAGATCTACTGCCCTCTTCTCCACTGTTCTTTCTAGTATAGTTGGAATTTTCATGTGCTTGACCCACAATGACTGATTCTCTGAATGCATCCAGATATAGACACTTGAACAGCAGGCAAGCAGAATTTACAGAAAATCAGTCTCTGGAGTCCCTGTTGTGATAGAAGGTTCAACCCTCCCTTTGCTTTCAGCTGCAGCTCTTCAGCTGAGACTGGAACATCCAGTCTGGCTCATCAAAATAGACATTCCCTGGACCCATTCAGGTAGGACTGCAGTTACCCATAGTCTTTCAGAAGAACAGGTCACTGATACTCTTCACTTTCCATGAGGCATTCAGGAAAGACACACATAGACTTTGGGCTCTTTACGGATCTCGTAGCACCTTTTTTTTTAGTGAGAAAGAGTCTGTTTGCAGGATGCAAAATGTGCTATGGTGGTAAAGTCGAGTCAGTAACTGTGGATCTTGCATATCTCCTTTGAGCACAAGAGAGTAAAGTCTGTGGCTGCTGCATAGTGTTTTTTTCCCCACTGCATTACCCCATGCACCAAAGCCAAATCTCTTACCTCAAGCTGACTGTGGATCTCACACTTAGGGGACAGAAGCATAAAACTGCCTTGAGACATGAACTTAGCTGTAGATCATAAGACTTGTCAGGCCTATCTTCAGCTTTCATGTTTGACTTCAGCATTTCTTCTGGAAAACCTAGGAAGATTCTGTGTTCATAACAGTCCTCTAGTGGCTGATGAATACATATCAATGCTGGTCATTTCATACTGAAGTGAAGGTGAGCCTGTGGAGCCCACTGCTGTCTTTATGGGTGTTGGATGACTGAAATTAATTTGCCCACATTTCTACTTCACTGGTCTGCAATGTCTATTGCTGGAAGTTGAATCAACATCACAAATCGGAACTGGAACTTCTGATTTATCTCTAGACTCAATTTTATGTCTTCATTTAGCATTTCTTGAATGTTAGACACCCCAGGCAGAAGAGCAAAGAAGTTATCTCATCTCCAAAAAGTAACAGTGTGGAACTGAAGAGAAACATTTTCTGCCTGCAATTGCCCTTTCCAACATGCCTTGCCTGTTTCTTCACCCCTGGTCCTTCACCTGCCCTGACACTAGCCTTAGGCTGAGGCTATGCTCAGAGAGGTTATCTCACTGGTCCAAGGAGACTAGCCACGGTGATTTAATTGTGCATCAAATAATTGAACTGAAACTCACTAATACATTTCATAAATGACCTCAGCTTTCAGTCACTGCTGATCTTGGCAGGAAACTTGAGTTCACCACCCTCTGCCTGAAACAGTAAGCAACAGGTTAGTTATCCAAAAGAGATCTGAGTATCAGGTGACTTCACAAGTTGCTGATTAGCTGGTTATTCAAAAGTAAAGACAGCCAAAATCCCCTCTATGAACTGCTTCACTCTTGGAGCCATTCCATATAAGCTTGATGCTGCCATTCCCTTGGAAGTCCTGTGGCAAGGAATGCTACAGGAAAAATGGTAGTAATAGAAACACGGGCATCTGAGGAATTTGGGTATCTTCAGGTTTTAGCAGATGAAGTGGAGGACTTTGAAGCTCAGCACATTGTGCATCAGATTTAGGTGTCTGTAATGGCAAAGGCCGTCATCTAATAATCTAAAATCTAGTAATATGTTCTGTGAAACTGAACTGCTGTCCCTGAAATCCTGAGACATGCCTGCCTAGGCAGCTAAAACAGATTTAATACAGAACTATTTTACTGTTAGTTTGTTTTCTATCAATATTTCATGTTATTTTCTTGTTGCTCTTGGTTCAAATAGTGAGTAATCAGAACTTGATTTTGATTCCTAAATGCCCAAAGATACTAAGCCCAGATTTCAAAAAAGAATCGGAAGATCAGAAGCAGTTGTTACAGATACCGCTTGTATGTGTGTTCAAATGCGTTTAATTCTTTCCTCTGTAAGAATTACAGGAATGAAGATGGATTTCTGACACATCAGTGCATTTATGTCTCTTTCTGCTTATCTATTATCATTGGGACACAGGCTTCAACTGTTTTAACAAAAGCTTGGAATCTTTCACAAGGTGGCTTCAGCTCCCTGAAAGCCTCCTCTAAGTAGTCAGCTGCTACGTGCAGGCTATTCTTTATGGATCCGTGTCCTATTGCCTGTAGGAACATACGAAATGAAAAGAAGGAGGATGGAGAATGAAAGTTGAACTGTTGTAATGTTCCACTCAAGGAGCTGCCTTCTGTGGTACATTGTGTCTCATTTTGCTGCAGAATCTTCACAATATCATCACAGTATATGAGGAGTTCTGATACTTGGAGGGATAAGGCAGGTGAACTCAGTAAGTGATGAAGAGCAGACTCCATCGTGTCAAGGAAATTGTCGTGTTTCAACATCACTGCAATGAGTATACCCACGATGCCCTCTACAATCTCTTTGCAATCATCATGAAATTCCTTTACTGCAATGATCTTGTCCTGCAGGGAGCAGGTGAGACCATCAGTCTTAGCATACAAACAGTGGCTGGTGCGTTCTTGTACATCTTTGACTTTTGTTTCCAAGGTGGCTTGCATCTCTTTCAAAGCACTGACTAGAAGCTGCAGATTCTCTTTAATGCTGAAGTGTTCTTTTACTGACATGATGGAGAAGTTGGTGCCAAGATGTGCATTGAGGAGTCGGAACATTGTGTTGGTTGAAGAGACATAGAAGTACATTAAGTCATGCAGGTCCTGGCAGGTCCTGATCAGTCTTTCTTTATCACTCTTAAAACCAAGGCGGGCTAACATTTCTGGAGTGGGGATCTGATTCTGAAAGGCAAACAGAGGAAGCCCAGAAGTCACAGGCGAACAAAATGGGATATATTTTCAGCTAGAATGTTACATTTCAGAAACAAATATTACAAATTATCAACCTGGCTGACACTCTCTCCCCCAGAACACTACAGTTGGAAGAAAACACAGAGGAAGCTCTTTGTCAGCCTTTGCAGGAGTCTTACCAAGCAGGCCAGCAAAACAAGGTGTAAACAGCTGCCAGGTATCGTTACTTTTATGGCTGCAGGAAGTATGACTCTGACCTTCAGCCTGCAATCTGAAAAGCAATGGCAGTGTTTATTAGTAAATCTATGGGAGCCCTAGCAAACAATCTACTTTACATCATCCTTAGAATTATAATTCTTGAGTTTCTATATACTGGTGAATCTACACAGATCAAAACTCATACCGGGGAGGAGGGCATGGACACAGCAAAGTCAAATACATCTGACACCTACATTCAAGTGGCAAAGCTACTGAAGGCTTAGTAATGCAATATTTTGTCAGACTACAGTTTGCTGTGAAATTACCCATATCTCTCAGTTCAGACAGCAACTAAATGTTGCAAACAACCCTTGATAGCTGGAAGCACAAAATCTTCACCCTCCTTGAGCTCCCATCTTGCTGCTATTTTAACTGCTAAAGACATTATATCCTTCTGCACCTAAGAGTTCTCCCAAGGCCGTCTGCAGGCACAGTCTTGGGACAGCACACAGGTGAGGAGCTGTTCTTGATGCTGCCTTTGCTTGTGACAGAGCTCTGGAAAGCCAGACTGGTTGCAGTAGGCATGTCGATCAGCTATTGCTGTGGCTAGATGTGCAGTTAAATGTGTCCAAGCAGTTGCAACTTGCCATCCTACTTCATACTTAAACTCTTTAAACAACTTTTCTCAGTGCTCAGCTCAACCGTCTGCCTCTTATTCCTTTCCCTTCTCATGGAAAATATGGTCTGAAATTGTGTTAAATGGCAAAATTGATTTTAGCCTCCATTGCTCTTCAGGCAGAGCTGACTCTGGGGCTTCATACCACTTCTTCCATTCTCATGGCATCAGAGGAGAGGACCTGGCAAATTGCAGTAAAGGGAGGGTGACAAGCACTCCAGAGGAAATCCTTCCCTCAAACTTACTATGTTTAAAGCAGTTTGAAACAGTAGCTATTAATCTTCCCCAAAAACCTGGGGTAAAGCAGGAACAAAACTGCTTGCTTATTGTTTAAATGATTTTCTGTCGCTCTCTGAATCATAGAGGTTTTAAAAGAGAAGAATTTGCATCCACTACAAACCTTGAAAACCTGAAATCAGTTTCCATCCTACAGAATGTGACACAGAGGTGGTTGCTAGTCTAATCAATTCAATTCAATTAAGTCCAATATTGAGAGTATTGACTGCCAGTACTACATGGCATTCTCAGTTAATTGCAGGAGTCACAACTAATTGATGACTGCAGAAATGTGATATTTAAATCATTAGTGTTCTCTCTCAGCTCATCTTCTCAGGCCTACAGCTCTGAAAACAAGGAGAACTTGGTACTCTGGCTCTAGGTTGAACACAATAGCTCAGTTTTAGAGAAAAACAAGCTGGCAAATGCAGAGTATTGATTTTAGGCTTGATCTTTTACTTTCATCTGAGAATTCTACCATTCTCTACTGGGTACAGAACATTCATGACTAAAGCAAGTCTATCTTCCTAAGGAGAAGAGCATGAAAGATGTCTAGTTTGGATGAAGGCAGAAGTACAAGCTTGTCTTGCTGGGATAGACAAAGCCTGTTTTCACATTCTGTGACATTTATTTTTCTATCTGTGTGGGACCATTCAACTTTTCTTCCAAAATTCACAGATGCACAAAATGAATCACAAACCCAATTTATTATTTCAAGGAATAGCTGCAAGAATTAGTGCTTATTGTTTATGCTTATAAAGAGACATAAAAACCTAATCCTGTATCTGTATGAGTGAAAATTGCTGTCCTATATGTTTTGTATTCTGAAAACAGCAAGATATACCATCCACTTTCAGCCATGGCCATAGGTACCTGTGGTGGTACCTTTGTCATAGGCAGGGGGATTCATGCTCTACCTATTTTCTCCAGGAACAGAAGGCCTTTGAAGGATCTAACAGTTAGGAATTAGCATTAAATAAATTGAAATCTGCTAAAATTGGAAGGAAGGGGAAAAGAGAAAGAAAATGAGATGAATCTGGATAAACATCACACAATAGAATTAGTGACAAGCAGGCAGGCAACAGGACCCAGCTGTAACTCATTCTCTGGATCCCTAACTCATCACATGCTGCTGGAAACCACCAGAGGAACACAGGGGAAAGAGGTTGAAGTCACCATCCCATACACAATTCAGCTGATTGCAAGAGCACTCTGACAAAATCAGGTAGGCAGTCTAAAGGTTTAATTAGAAAAGCTTCTAGATAAAATCTCCTTAGAGGTGGAGAAATAGTCAGAAATATGGAAATACGTGTGGCTTGCCTCACTCTAGAAAGGATATGTAAAAATTATCTAAAGTGTGAATGTGAAGGGGAAGTGTAATTTTAGCATTAAGAGATGTAAAATCTAGAGCAGCTGTAGGAAGCTGAAATAATCATGCGTAAAGTGTAGATGCTAGAAGTCTCCTCCATACCTTTTTTACTATGAAAAATGTTTGTTGAAATACTACTCCTCTTAGAACATTTTGTCTTCTCAGTTTCTACAAATAAGGAAAATCAAATTACCTTTCAAAAAAACATCACTGAAGTGGAAAGGATCTAATACCACACTGAGTCAGAGAGCAAGCCAATAACATCACTGAGGCAGGACTGATATGAAATCATACCCAGCATTGACATAGCCTTACGTTTCCTGAAAATCACCAGCTGTATATCCACTTTGCTCCCTCCAGCTTGAAGAAAAGATGTGTTAAAGGGTTTATCTGTCAACTGAGCTACAAGGTAAGTGGCTGAAAGGAATGCACAGTACTGTGCAAAATATTGTGGAAAACATTCTCTTCAGACTGGCTTGTATTTCAACACTGAGACTAAAAGTTTTCTAGAGGACTGTTGAAATCATTCTGTTTTTTTCTACAGTGATCTTGTGGGGGAGGGGTGTGTTTAGCAAAATACAGCTGGGTCAGTGTCAGATGATTTGCAGTTAACAGATAATGCAAGAACTACAAAGTTCCAAAATAACACAAACGTATTTTTTAAGAATAAAAGTCTAGCTAGTACCCTACACATAACTACTTGTAGCTATAACTGTGATATGTAGGCACCAACAGCAAGAAGGGGTTTATCTTGGAAAAATGCGAAGCACAGCATAGAAGTGACTCAGATTTGCAGTAAGAGGGCTGAGAATGGAAAAGTATCGACAAAGAAGGAAATGATCCTACTCATTAATGGTTTGACCCTGTTATAAAGCAAGATATATGTGTTTAATTCAAAATCACTCAAAAGCGTTTTTACTTTTCAGCTGATGATGAGTTAAAAGCAAGTGGCACAGAGTTGATTACAGAAGCTTAGTGATGAGGAGTAACTCCATGATCACTGGTAACTCAGTCATTTTGGAATCTGCATATTGGTATGCAGGTGGTGGTGAAGAATGTATTAAATATGCCCTTTTGCTGGCAAACCAGCGACAGCTCAGAGAATAGTGACCACCAGGATTAAACACAAGTGTTTGAGGGAGGAGAAATCAAAGAAGTTAAGTTTTGTGCCGTGGTCCATACAGTGATAGAGGAGGGCCAGATTCTGCTCAGTTATGTTTTAGGAGCTTGGCGAGCACTTGCTGATAGTAGCTCCACACAGGACACTCTGGGTGTGGAAGGAGCGTGGCTGTGCAAGCAGGGGCACACTGTTCCCAGGCAGATTGGCATCGCAGACACCTCACGGTGCTTATACAACATGGGGCTGTCTGAACCTGTTTGATGTTCACGAGGGAAAAGCCAACAGGGAACTGATTACAGCATCAGGGAGGTGAATAAGCAATGAGGGAACAGGGGCTAAATATCGGGGAAGGAAACACAGTGGGAGATGTGCATAAGGCAATATAGCTTAGGATGGGTTTATTTGACTATTCTCTATGAATTCTCAAGTTTGAGTTTATTAGTATAAGCACAGAGTACTTATATACTAACATTTTCTGTTGAATGGGAACAGAAATAAGCTACACTGGCACCCTTATGGTTATACAGACTGTGCCCACTCCACCAGTCATAATAGCTGTTTAAAAATCAGATGCCACTAACTGAAAAAGATGAGATGATACAAAAGTGTATCTAGAACAGGCCTTTCATTTCCACAGCTTATTTTCGATTTTGCTGATTAGATGAGATTGTTCCGTTTTTTAGTGAACTAGTTCAGCTTTTCCATCTTCAGTTTCCAAAATGAAGAATGATCCATGTTCATTTTATCAATCTGCTAATTACATACTGATGCTCTGAGTATATCTGATGTCTCAGAGAGTCTTTTTCCAATCATTTGGTTAAAGATCCAAAACAAGAATTAAAATTTCTACCTTTAGAAGCTACACCTTGGGGTTTGACTTGCTGAGTATAAAAAGAACCAGTGAGGCAGAGACAGAGGACATTTCACCACTCTTTAAGGGCTGGAGTTATGGATGTTGAATAGAGTAAGAAATCTGTTTTCTCTCCTGAAGTAGCCTAAGAATGGCGCTGAGCGACCTCCTCTACCCAGATAATCCCAAGAGACGGCAAGAATTGATCCACCTGCACCAGGAACTGCTCAACTGCATGTCTACAAATTTCCGTGCAACAAATGAGCTGGCTGGTGTGCTGAATGAACATCTGGGCTGTACCATCACCCGCATTCAGATGAGGGAGAGCAGCACCGTCAAGGAAAACTGTGACATCATTATTCAAGCGATGAATGAGATTCAGCATCAGGTACAGAAGATTGATAGTGACATGAAGGAAAAGCTAGAGCCTGTGCTGTACCAGAAGCTGTATGACATCAAAGAGCCTGAGCTGGAGAAAATTGCAATAGCCCATAAAATTTTTTCCATTATTCTTGGAGAAGCAACTTCAACAGCTGGGATGGTAGCTATCAAACTTCTTGGCTCAAATCTTTTAACTCTCACTGTGAGCAAGCTCGTCAGCCTCCTTGCGCAGATTGGGGCTTCTGTTCTTGGGGGAATCAGCATCACCATTCTTGGGCTTGGCATTGAAATGATCCTCCACGCCATCCTGGGAGCTGTGGAGAGGAATCAGCTCCTGGAAGCTGTGAGAAGCTACGAGAAGCACCTATCTGCATTTAAAGAAGCCTCGGAAAAGTACCAGCGTGCCATACATGAAGTGACTTCTTTGGTGAGACAGCAGGTTCAGTGAATGAAGCTGGAATTCTCCTGCTGTGACAGTGATGGCAGCAGCTACATTTTTGCAGAAACCTTTTTGCTGAAACCTTTTTGATTCATTATGGTAAATCAACTACCGATAGCATTTTTTTTTTATTAGTGGTAGCAGAGCAAGAGATCACAGAATCACAGAATCACAGAATGTTGGGGATTGGAAGGGACCTTGAAAGATCATCTAACCCAATCCCCCTGCCAGAGCAGGATCACCTAGAATACGTCACACAGGAATGCATCCAGCTAGTTTTTGAATGTCTCCAGAGAAGGAGACTCCACAACCTCTCCGGGCAGCCTGTTCCAGTGCTCTGTCACCCTCACACTGAAAAGTTTTCCCTAATGTTTTTGTGGAACCTCCTATGCTTCAGTTTGCACCCATTGCCCCTTGTCCTATCACTGGACATCACTGAGAACTTGACATATTTATAAACATTTATGAGGTCACCTCTCAGCCTCCTCTTCTTCAAGCTAAAGAGACCCAGCTCCTTCAGCCTCTACTCATAAGGGAGATCGTGGTTAGACAATTATGAGAAAATATAATTATGTGACTGATCAGGAAATTGGCACTGATATGTATTAATCGAGAACTGACCAATAGGTGCATCTGGGCAGCAATGCTTCAAATACTTCACACTTTTCCTTCAGCTATTTTCTGGAGTGCATTGTATGTATCCTTGAGCTGTAACTTGTACTAGTGACAGTAATAGTCACTGTTGGAACATTAGTGGTGAGAAGGTGTGATTCTTCTCTTACTGTGTTTCTATATCAAAGATGACAACATGATGGGAGAAAATAATACCACAAGCCAGTCTATGTTGTTAATAACTCTGGAGGGCTCATCAGGAGAGCTGTGGCTGCTGAACTCTTAGTGTGGATTAGTGATAAATCTGACAGGCTGAATTCTGTGTTCATTGAACTGCTTACAAGGACTAGCTGAAGCATATTTTACTGCTACTTCCTGCTCCATCCCTGCTTAAGGAGCCAGACAGAGATCTTCTTTAAATAAACTCTAATCCCTGTAGATTAGCAGGTAAAAGAAGCACGAGCTGCAGGCAAACACACACAACCTTGCCCCACAACTGAGAAAAAAACGTCTGTAGTGTTCCAGGCATGCCTGGCTGTGAATAACCTCTTATGTTCACTAATGTCCCGCTCTTGCCAACCCACAGGTAAATATTTCTGTGCACAGTTGCTGCTCTGTTGATTGAAATGGGGTTATACACACACACAAGTGTCTGCAGGATTACAGCCCTATTAATGCATGAAATCTATTTTCAGGTGTTTTATCCAGTCCCACCAATGTAGGACTGCCAAAAGCATGCTTGGATTCTGCTTTTTGTAATACGCTACCAAATTTCTTTTTTTTTTCAAATTTTAAAAACAAAGCTCGAAGCAAGAACATGATTTGCAATCTCTTGCTCTGATTTGCTGTGGTTTGGGTTTTCTTTGCTTTGATTTTTGAAAAAATAATTTAAGAATTAATAAAAATATATCTGAATATTGTAAGAGCTCTCTTTCCTGTACTTTTTTTTCTGTCTGAAAAAAGTCTTAAATAACAAAAAGAAGATTAAAATCTTCATTATACATGGAATTTATAAATTCCTTTCTATATCCATGATAGACTAATCTAGTAGGACTGTCCTTTTCTAGTACCAGCTTTCCCCATGCTAAAATGGTATCAAAATTCATACATTTGTTAATATTCAATGTAGTAATATTAGATTCTTATATTAATAACTAGATCGTACCTGTGAAAGTAAAGAGATGGGTAAGATTACAACAGGGAAGCTCTGTATTGGCTTCATAAACCTTCCATTCTGGGTTTGGGTTTTTGTTTTATTTTTCCCGCTGTTTCCACTTTAATCGTCTTTTCTGACTCCTTTGTGCTCTCGTGTTCAAGAGCCACTAGATGGCAATGCAGCTGCTGGCTCTCAAGCCGCTCTACCAGCTATCAGGGAAAAGCTCAGGCAGGGTTCAAGAGGATGGAAGTGGTGGCATCTCCCATCTCCTGACACCAGAGGTGGTCAGTTTACAGGTACTTGTTTAGAGGCAAGAAGATGTCAACCAGCAGAACAGAAATATTCGGGTGTTACAGACGCAGCAGGTGCTGGCTCCTGATGGCTTTCTATGTGCAAATGCACATTCTAATTTAAAAAGAAAAACCACCAACTTGGTACTTATTTTTGTGAGATTGCCAATCACTGCTGTACAAGAATAGCAGAGTCAAATAAAAAAAAAAAATCTATTGCACTTTTGTGGTGCCACATTTTCTTGAAAGCGAATTCTGAAGGGGAAATGGGGTATGCAACAAGGAAGATAAAGATGTGCAATTTCTATTCACCTCCTGATAGATCCTTGCTTCTGGTGCACTCAAAGGAAAGCTGGCTTGCCTTCAACAGCAGGTGTGGCAGGTGTCCTCATGCCCATGAGATGTTGTAAGATGTGGAATATGTTCAAGGCTGGCAGGTGGCAGCCTGTTCCTCTGCTTATGAGGTAGGAGGTTGTGAGGTCACAGAGGCCAGGTCATCATTCCCAGCTGGCTAGAAGAGCCACCTATGACCTTATAGAGGGGTACAGCAATATCCAGCTCTAACAAGGAGGTTCTG